ACCATCACTTCCTTGACTGGTTATTGTTAATTACCTTGACCCACTTCATATTAAGCTCATTAGTCAGACAACTCCACCAGTTTGTGAACCTGCAGTCTTCTAACCAGAAGGGACATCTTCTTCACATCCTTGTAGATAGAACCGGGAGATCTCATGGCCCCTTTCCGTCCTATGTCTCACGACAATGGTAACATTTACAGTAGACATGCATTGCTAACATATTGCAAGGTCAACTCTCTTAAGTTTGCCGTTTACACCTATATGCTGTTGGCACGTAAGTGCAATCTTCCACCTTCCATTTGATACATTGGTGGGAGTAGGCAGATGACAGTCCCCATGTGTATATTAAAACAAATAGACCATTGTGGCTATGTGTATACTATATTTTAGGTTCACTATGATCTCATTTTCCAATAACGGTCTAATGATGTAGCAGGGCCGCATTATAGCGACATGCATGCTACAGCAAATTACTTGAATGCTGACATAAATACCAGTGTGTGTCACAGCTATGCTTTTGTAGGTGCCCATTCAAAGCTTTAGCACCCAGCATCCTATTAATATCATAGCTGATAGATAAGGTAAGCCGAATATATGTCAAGTGTTAGGGGAAGGAGAGTGAAAGTGTTTTCAACAACATTCAAATATTAGAGATAAGACATTCTTTTGCTGAATGTTGAGTGAGAATAGCTATTAGATAATAATTTATATAGAGCTAGTCAAAAATAAAGGAGACACTAGCTTTCACCTCATTACACATTGTTCATTAAAAAGTGATATCTGCGTTATCTGATTTTAAATTCTCTTGAAGAAGTCAGTTGTGTCTTTGCAAAATATGTTGAGATTTTTCACAATATTACTATTTGGTTTGACAATATTTGTTTGGATGGTTTTTCTTGTTTGTATAAGTATGATATATTTTTGTCTGACATTTTAATTGCAGAATTGAGAAGATTATTATCAGTTGGGTTGCATTGCTTTAGTTGGTCAGCTGAGTAAGTTACGTAGAATATTTCACTTTTTCTCTTTTAAAAATAAAAATGTAAGCATCACTAAAGTAGCTTTATTGAGTCGCTGTATTCAAAACATGAGTATATAGTCATTATAGCATCACCGATAATGGAACACACAATTATAGCTAATTTGTCTTGCACTATAATTCCACGTTCATAGAGAAAGTGGGTGCAGTGGTGTACCCACAACCCCTGTTGGCACTGGAGGTGTATCAAACAGGCAACAAAGACAGTCAGTCATTATGAATGTAGACACAAATGGTTATCAAACTATGTCGTATGGCACTTGGATGGAAGTGGAGCAAACACTGGATTGGTCTGCTTGAGGTAACCGTCAATAATTTACACTTTAAAACAGTTCTTACACTTTCTCATGGACTAGAAAGGGGATTGGTTACTTGCCTAGCTAATATCACTTTGATGACAAATAGCAGGGGCAGATTTCCTATAAAGCCATGGATTTAGGACAGCAGACAGGAGATGGGCAGCACAGGCAGTGTATAGATCAAAGATCTACCTCAATGGTCAGCAAATTGTCATGCTGAGGGGTGGACAAGGAAGCTTGTGGTCTGCACCCCAGGAAGAATACTCTCACCAAGCAGTGCCATGGGTTATCATGGCAATGTTCCATTGTTACGAACACACCACAGCCCCTAACTCCATATACATACACTACAGTTCTTATCTCCTGTACATACACAACAGCCTCAGTTCGCGACAGACTCATTAACTTCACCCTCAATTACATGCACAAACATGGCCACTCCAATTGCACCTCCACTCACTCCAGCCAGAATTCACCCACACAAAAACAGTACAGCCCCAACTGTACCACAAACTACATACCCAATTTTAACTCAAACACACTCTACATTCCCTTTCTCTTTCAAATACTCACTACAACCCCATCCTCCCCAAACACACATCTCTCTTTAACACACAAACAAACACGCACACACATACAGACCTCATTCACATGCACGCACAAACTACATCACAGTCCTATCTATACACAACATAACCACACATCAGCCTTCCTACCACACACGCAATCCTACAAGCAGCATCCCCAAAATGCCAGAAATCCCGCCCTGGGTATTCTGTCAGCATCCTTGAAAAGGCAATGGCAGTGCAATATGAACAATAATTTATGTTCACCTGACATTCTCACTCATTATACAATAGAAGATACAAATGTGTTATTCTTGGTTCATTTACTAATTTGAGAGATCTCATTAGAAAAAGAAAAAGTGAATTATGCCAATCCTGAGAAATGTAACTATTTCCCATGGCAACAATGGCAGTGACCCAGCAACTATTGGGATTCAAGTTTACATGTGTCACTGTCTTGTTCAGTTTGTGGATTGACCGTTTTAGAATGGCTGCAGCTGTATCCATCCATAAAATTTATATATCTATTTATTATTACTCCTGCTTCTTTACACGATGTGTGATGAAACAGCGCTGGATGGTTTATCAACTACACAGCCAAGATTTAGCACTGGATCCAGCCCTATAACTGTATTTGGCAATAGGTTTAACATTTTACGAGCTGTCAATGTGGAATACAGGACGGCCAGCCCCAAACTGGAATACTGTAAATATCTTTTTTTTATTATTATTATTTATTTATAATTCATCGAACCACGAGGCCGATTTTATATAGTAAAAAAAAAAAAAAAAATAATGATAAAAATCATACAAATTGGATTCTACTAATTGCTAAACAGTAAGACACTACATAATAGAGCAAGTTCACACTCCTATCTAAAGTTTACAGTTTGAATTCCTAAGCAAAAAGGCTGGTCATTAAATCCACACGCAGCTGGATAGCAGCCTTTTACAGGAAATGCCTTCACTGCACAGATACACTAGTAGGACAGCGTGATCCGTGAGAACATTTTTACAACTACTGCCTGGGCTGCACCTGTTCCGAAGATTAATGCGAAACATCAGCTCGTAGGACCCTCAGCTTGGCACATCCAGCAAGCCTACACACTTATATTCAGAACAAAACATAAAGGATATATCACATGTTAAAAACCAAAATCTATCATCGGGTTAATCTCTGTTTTGCCTAAGTGGAGAAACATTTGCTATTTAAAGATCCTGTAATTTTGTACATATGCACAAGCAAATCTGGAAACAGGTTCCAATTCACAAATAAGGATTTTAGATTGATTGTAATAGTTTCAGCGTACATTGAAACCATAACCATTGAAACAGCTAGCTTTAAATGTTGCTATAGCGATACAGCAATGTTGCCGTGGTTATTAGAATGCTAAGACATTATACAGTCATTAACAATGACCACTTAATAATGAAGACACAAAGTAAAGAGCGTAGGGTACAGTTAGGGAAATGTAAAAACATAGGAGAGTTTCACTTTAGAGGTACTTAGTGTTGGGGAACATAGGGTTAAGAGGTACCTGCCTAAAAGATACTGTGGACTGTAACTCCCATCATTAGTAGCCAGCAGTTATTTAAAATGATGGATAAAACAAAAGAGAAATTGCCATATTAAAGGAACAACATTAAGTGGTATGTGACATAAAGCTCATTTTGGAAAGTTAAGCAATCAAATATATGTAGGCAGATTGTTGTACTTCACCTTGAATTACATAGGCGTTAAATGAACACTAGATTTGGAGAAAAAAAAGGAATAAACTACTATTTAATAAATACACCTCCAATTAAAACATGAATGCATTTATTTATGCATGTTATCATTGGGAGCATATCTACACTCAGCTTGCTAAAGCTGCAGATCTCCTGTCTGCAGCCTTTGCAAGCCTTTAATTTTCCCTAGCACAGACTTTTAGTCCATGTCAGCAAAATGACCGATCAGAGGTTTCTTGTTGATTCTGAGCCATTGGGGAGAGCGCACTTTCTGAACACACGTGAGGCAATGGGGCACTGGGGAGGTCGCAGGAGCCAAGGGAGTAGATGAGGACGCAGAAGCAGGATGCTGGGGACGCAGATGTACAATGTGCCCTTTGGATGTGTGCATGTGCATGCGTGCTCACAATCTCACTATGACTTGGAGGTGGTGCACTCTAGTAGAGCATTGCTTCCATTAGCCTAACTCAGAGGAGCTAAAAGAAGAGAACCCCCCTGGGTTGTTTGACTGAAGACCAAGATAGTGTTTCTTAATCTGTTTATAAAAGTGACAATTTCCCAAAGAAATAGACACTTTTATGAAGTTCAAAGAATATGTGACACTATCATTTCCATTTAGAGAACTTCAGCAAGTGGTCCTTAAATGGCATGATTAGGAAAATAATGCTATAGGTTAATATATTTAGTTATGGTGTCAGAGGGTTCTGTTTAACATTTACATTCAGCTCCCCCTCTTTGGAAACATAAAAAACTAATGAAACATTGTTTCCAACAACATCCTGGTCTTGTTGCCACTTTTCCCACTGTGAGATCATCATTGCGATTAACTCTGCTCCAATCCAATCTAGTAGAGAGACACTGAGGACCTACGGCGCATGAACAGCATGCACAGTGGTCCACAGTGCTCAAACAGTAGCATTATCCTAGTGCTTCCCTGTAAGAAGCATCATCAGTTTCCTCATTATACATGGTGGGATGACCTCAAATGTGAAGATCTTTGATATACAAAAATCTCCACAAGGCAATACCCCTAGTGGATGGCAGTCTGACATTATTTAAGAAACAACCATGGTTTACATAAAGCTAAGTATATTTAAACATGTGTGTTCCATAACCTATCCTTCTCAAGGTAAATCACAGTCAAATTATTTGCTGATTTTCTTAAAACTGTCTACAGGCAGATTATGTTGCCAATGATCGTGATTTTTTATTTGTAATTTTTTTCAGTTACAGAGGTGTGCTGGACATGAATGCAATGAGATTAAGATCTCCCATCAACCATCTAAATTTCAGGAAATCGAATACACAAAGAAAGAAAAAAACATCTGAGTATTTGTAGAAAAGAACTCGAAAAGAGAACACAGATGAATTTATTTTTGCTATTTACCCAGGAGGCAGACGATCATGCTGACAAGGTATTCACTAAACTGGTTTTGACAAAGCAGTCATTTACTAGGCGAAATGACCTCACACTATATCCCATGCACAGCATCAAAGTATCAACATATTACTCCAGTGCGAATTCCCAGCAAATATTTTCAGTTTCCATTTGGATATTCCAAAATATTCACAATGTGGCTATATTTTAGAGAAATGTATCTTACATTAATATTCTTTCTTTTTAAGACTGGCGAAATATTCTGCTTATAGTATACACTGATCAGATCTAAAGTCCACTTTTTTCTTTTGGTTTGTGTATGAGGGAACAGGCAACATTGACCCTAAGACTTTAGTGCAATTAAGCATTTATTAAAAGTATAATATAAAAGAGATCCATCGTTCAACCTTTTGCAGGACTACTAAAGTCACCCGAGTGCAGTGGTTCTGTCGATTCAACCATTCAAGGTAAAACAATGCTGTTTTGCAGAAACATCCATTGGAGGTGCTTCGGTCACATGATGCGGAAGTCCCAGTAGGAAAGCATTGAGCCAACCGGGAAGCTTGGAGGCGCACGGTGCTCCTATGGTATGCACATCAGTTCTCACCTCCTGCATGAGGACCATTGGATTGGACCACACTGCATGAGACCATGCCTGTTCTATGCACATAGATCAAAGGCTCCACGCAGAAGTCCAGCACAAAGGACAAAACAGTCCTGGATAAATATATTTTTCAACTTTATTTACTCACAAAACTTCACATAAAAATGCATATGTCTAGCCTAGCTTAACAACGGTCTTCCTTCAATGTTTAGTGCTGTAAATGCAAGCTTAATCATAATTATGCCTCCTCCATGACATTGTGGTAGGAGGAGAGTTAAGCATCACTGAGGGAGCCTCGGCACTTTAAAAAGGTAAGACTGGACAACTAGCCACCTGGAGAGGAGAGAGAAAGGGGGTGGACATGCCAATATTTGGAGTGATGTGAACAACAATGGCATATGCACCCCTGTTATTTCATTATTTATAGTATTTACCTATCGCCCAGGTCCTCCCCCCCAAATGTTAGAATATTGGCCCCCATCTCCTGCCAATAGAAAGGTAGAAAGGGGCCGAGGGGGTACATTAGTTACTCCACACTGAATATTATTAATATCACTGTCGCCAACTGCTTCCAATGAATGAGAGCTGGGGGGTGGGGGAGGGTCACACTCATCACTTGCAAAAATGCAGGGGAACTATAACATGCAAATGTGTTTCCAAACCTACCATTAAAATTATAGACTGATCATTTCTTTGTCAGTGGGCAAACATTCAAAATCAGCAGGGAATCAAATACTTTTTTCCCTCACTGTATATATACAATGTATGACTATTACTTATATTTATTATGTTAAAAAAAATTAAAAAAGCAGAAAACGCAAATTAAATGATAAACCTCACTATCTTCTATAAATAATCCTGCCTTTGCAATATTGTATAAACCAGAGCCTACAAGAGTTTAAATCAAGCAGCTAACTTAAGCTAACTCATATTTATTATGTTGTCTCTTCTTTTTATTTTGCAATAATTGTGCCTGAAGTGCATTTTTTTTTTTAAATAAAGCAAAACTTAAAAACAGGAAGTTAAAAAAAAAAGTTTAACTGAAATCAGAAACACAGCCAGTGTATTTTTGCTGACCATAAAATTATTCCCTCAGCTCACTAACATTTATAAAGTACTATTTCTCCATTAATAGAAGACGTTGCATTGCTTCATTTTAACTTCTCTATCCTGTTAGAAAACAAATCCCTATTCGCTCCTTTTTTTTGTGAAGTACTGCACTGTTTTCTCAATTTTTTACTACGCTTCTTGCTAAACAAACTCTGACTTTACACCCTTTGAGGGTCAGTGACACCCCATAATTTACTGTCTGGAATGTAGACTTAAGGGAAGGAGAATTGATGAAATATTGTGCCTAGGATATAGCTGCTCACATTTCACACACTACAGAGACATGCCCATTTGGCTTATTGCCATGGTGAATTTTCTTTTGCAAGTAAATAAGTCAGAGGAGAAAGAACTTGAATTCATATCAACCCAGCTGTGAAATGTCACTACCTCTCAAAAGATGTTATGTGCCTTGTGTGAAAGGAATTCTGCAATCTTAATATATGTGACCGCAGCTCCAAAACACCATTTGCATTAGTCTTTATTTCTGAGGCTTATTTTTTAATTGCATTTAGATTTTTTTTTTTTTCACTGTGAATATAGTAAGCACAATGTGTTCGTCTGACACTAAACACTGTACACTCGATATGTATATGATTAATAATCTGAAAACAAATCTGAATTAAAATTATTATGTGATATAATATTTAAATGAACATAAATAAATAATGATGTTTTATATTTTTGTTGTGTTGTGTTTCTGATTTTTTTTAAAAAAAGAGAAAAAAAATACTGCTCTTTTAATAGTATGATGACTTTTGTAACTCAAATTGAATCTATTTATATTTCTAAGATAGGCCATAACATTTTTTGGATAAGGTTTATTAAAATGTTTTTTTTTTATGTTAAAATATAAAATACATATTATATCATGTAAAAAAATCTATATTTCAAAAATGTGAAAATAATAAATATTTTTTTCAAAATGTGAAATAATTGTAAAAGTTTATACAAAAATATTAAATTGAGGCTATAATTATTATAATTATTAATATTTTATAATTTATTTGTATGTATAATAAGGTGCTAATGAGTAAAAAGCAAGACAACCACCTCTGCCTTTCTTCAGCTTGGCAATTGTGGCTTACATTTTGCATATTAGTTGTTTTGGAACTCATCACATCTCATTATTTAGTTCTCTAAATTCATGTTGCTGAGAATTTTCCGTTTATATAATAATTATACACAAAAAATGAGCATGCATATCTCTCAAATTTGTCTAAGAATACAAATCATCCTCCGCAGATTCGTTCAGATGAGATTTTGCATGATATATATGTCCGTTTTACCATCCTTCTGTCTATTTTTCCCTCTGTTCGTCCAACCCTACATACATATGTCTGTCCGTCTGTTTGTCTTTCTGACTACCTCTATGTCTGTTTCTCTGGTTATCATTCTGACAATACTAATAATGCAGCTACTTATGTATTTAAACTTTTATTAATTTATTATTGCTATTAGCCATGTTTGGGATGGAAAAACCTTTTTTTTTTAAATGCACTATTCTTGTTACCAATAACTAAATAAAAGTTTAATTTAAAAATAAAAATAAAAAATGTTTTTTGCTTTTTTTCCCCCTTTGACTTCAATTATTCCAGTCAACCAATGACATAATTAAACAAATAGTTTTAATATCACAATGTAACTGTTTCCCACATTAGAGGTTTTCCACACACCCAGCCTATTGCTAGAAGGTTCGGCACTTAGGGAGTGACTCAGCTACTTAAAGTCCCTTTTTGTAAACAATAACATGAAGTTTTTAGAGTGCTTTCAAACCACAGTGTCATGACCTTGGGCAAGTCATTTAATCTCTGTGTGCCTTAGGCATCAAAACAAACTTTTAAATTTATGGAGGGAGCTTCAGATATGTCCAGGAAAGTTTATATTATACACAATGCTTTCAGTTCATTCAGGAGTAGAAACCACAGCCTGTTTTATTTTTGAGATGACCTGTAATGTAATGGACATGGCTACATGTTGTGTTATATTTTTTAACAGTTCACTCTTTCACTACCTAGCTCTTTTTGTAAAAATAAACACATTAATAATAAAAAAAATATTACCATAGCATTCATGTGAAATGTAGGCTGTATAGTTAACTGATAAATGTGGGATGAGACAGTAATCTTGGAAACAGATTCCTGTCCAACTATGCCTAAAAATAAAATTATTTACATGTATTTATTCAATATTTTACAGATTACATGGTTTCAATATTACATTTTATTTGTTTGTGGGAGCCATTTGTTTGAATACAACTTTATAAAAATGCTATGACAATATAAAAATGCATCTAAATGTAATACCATCACATCAAGTATCTATACTATTACAAAACACATTATGGGCAGCTATTGCAGCCTGCAAAGAATCCCTGCTTTTTGTGCTCCGAGCTCTTAATCGATTCCTTCCTCCATGGATGCCAGAATTCAGAAGTAGAAAAATTGCTTTACAGTGTGGCAGAAGGGAAGTTATGACATTTACATTCCCTCATTGTATTTGCAGAGAGACAGAATGGTTAGCAGAAAAATGTTGGCCTCTGCAGTGTTAAATAAAGTACTGGGGCAAAAAGCAAGTTAAGTTGAGCATTAAATTTTTATATTTTTCAGTTTTACGTTGCAAAATATTTTAAAGCATGCAATTGTCTCTTCTCCCTCAATGACTGTTTTTTTTTTTAATTCTTTATTTTTCTAGTGCATTGCAAGTTAACAAGTAAAGACAGAGACAATGCAGTGATCGGCTTAAGACAGTAGAAGCAAGAGGTTACAAGACATGTCTGAGATGCAGCACTATTTTTTTTTAAATTACAGGAATACAAGTCGCTTATGTGCCGTGGTAGAGGAGTTACCCCCCAGAAGGCCCCATGTGAACTCAAATATGTAAATGTGTCACATATGAGTAAACTGTAATATATACTATATTCAGGGCTCGAGTCCTGCAGGAACACGTGGAAGCGGCGTTCCTGCACTTTTTTCACAGCAGGAACGCTGTTCCCATTGCTTCTGCAGTCACTCAGGGTACGGCAAAAAATGCCGCCCCCAAATAACCAGAGTTCCATCTGTCATGGGGGGGGGGCCACCTGATGGACCCCCCCGGTGGGCGCCTGTCTCCCTGTCAAACGTGGCGAGGGAGCTGTGTTCTCCCAGCTCGGCTCCCTCACTCGCTGTTTGCTGATGCTGTGAGCCGGAATATGATGTCAGAGGGAGTAGAGCTGGGAGAACACAGTTCCCTCACCACGTCTGACAGGGAGACAGGCGCCCGCCGCACTAAAGCCCCACTGGACCCCAGGGACAGGTCCACAACAGCTCTCCAGGTAGGAAGGCTGGGTGGACTTTTTTAAGATTAAAAAAATAATAATAATTTGTGTGTTTCTGTGTGTGTAGTGTGTGTGTGTATGTATGTGTGTGTCTGTGAGTGTATGTTTGTGTGTGTGTGTCTGTGTGTGTGAGTGTGTGTGTCTGTGAGTGTGTGTCTGAGTATGTGTGTGTGTCTGCGAGTGTATGTGTGTGTCTGTGAGTGTATGTGTGTGTGTGTGTGTGAGTGTGTGTGTGTGCACCTGTCAGTGTGTGTGTGCACGCATTTATGTATGCATACAAGCGTATATTTTTTTTTGGGGTGGAGCGATGGATCTTGGGTGAGTTCCCACACTTTATTCCCCAGGACTTGACCCCTTACTATATTCTATAAGAATGCAAAAAGTAAATGAAACCATAAAACAAAGCCTGTGCCCAATCGCTAGTAATGAGGCAGCGGAGGAAAGGGAAGTCAGCTCAGCCTATGCCTTGTAAGGGACAGGTAGAGTCCCGCACCAGAAACTACCCCAGCAGGCATGATAGCTCACGGGCAAGCCTGAGCAACAGCATGGTTTGGAGACATGAGCCGTAAGGCAGCAGCACCCAAGCTGTTCCGTCCATTCAGGAAACATGTAGGCACAGCATCAGGGATCCAAAGGGGTTGTTCTCAGTATACGTCAAGATGTGTCTCTCCGAGTGCTGGTGTATAGGACAGGTCTGATCAGAAGCGGGCTCCTCTTCTTCCGGCCTGTCTGGATGTGCCGGACTGTGAAAAATGAGGTCTGGCTTAAGATCATGAGCCGTGTGCCACACGCAAGCGGTCAGCTTCACAAAGAAGGCGTTGAATAGCTCTGTCAGCCTGCTCTCCACATCCCATCTCTCACCGCATGGGTCAGGCAAGCATGGGGCAACCGCCATTGCAGTGGTAGTGTCGGTACTGCTTGTAAGTGTCGCTTGGGCACAGTGTAGTATTGGAGCCTTTGGGGTTTGGATTGGGATCACCCCCACCTGTCCAGAGGGGGGGGGCAGGGCTATAGTAGGATTCAGCGGTAGGCCAGTATCAGGCAAGCTGGGAGAGCGGCCTCCCCTCCCGCCCAGCATCCACACTAGGCCTCACTGCGTCCTCCTTTGAGTGTAGGAGCAATCCAGAGTTCACGTGCCCAGCATAGCGGGATAGCGGTAAGTCTCTTGTAGCTGCAAAAGTAGAGTCCCAAGGGGCAATAAACACGGGTAAATCAGTAGTTAAGTTGGGAGCTCTTTCAGAATGCGTCCAACCGCCATGCAGGTCAGGCCCTGCCCCCTCAATGACTGTTTAATGAAAAATTTTATGATCTAGAAGAGTGTCAAGCATATTCGTCATGTGCTAGCATTAATATATTCTTCTATGACTGTCTACTAATAAATAAGATGTAATAAATTGAATAAATTTATGTAATAATTATGCCTGATGAAAACCATATTATGTACATGCCATATATGCAATATATGCATTTAATGGCTCACAATATATTTTCCAAATTTGTTTTTTGATTTAAATTTAAGGGAAAATGATTATTCTAATTACTTTATGCTTTTAGGGTGTGCAAAGCTTAAAAAGGTACCTAAATCAGCTCTTCCATCATTTGAGGTCTTTACATATTTTGACATTGCCGCTTAATGTGCAGTAACGTGGGTTTGTAGTGAAGGGTAAATATATTTACCTGATGCATACCAACGCATGCATGTACGAGAGTACTGGACTGATATCTACAGAGGATCTCACAAGACCGCGGGAGCTGCCATAGATATTGTATCTTGATACGTGAGACAATGTCTTATTGCCCCAGCCATCGCAAGTGACTGACTTTGCCTTATGTATTTTAGGAGAAAAAGATTAAAAAACAAGAAAGGAAAAGCAGATTAAGAGTGAGGAAGAGAAGAGGAACAGATTAAAGCAAGGTAAATTTAGGGTGATTTCGATTTGCATACTATGTTGAGGTTCAGCCTCTGACAAACCAGGTACTTGAAGGTTTTTTAATATTCAGACAGACTAAAATGGTTGGAAACAAGAAATACTGTCCTCAATCCATCCAAGTTTTATTTATCCTGAGTCATGAGGGAATCTGTTCAGTTTCTGTATATTTTTTGTGTTTTATTTCAACAGTTATTACAATAATGCAATCTTTTTCTTTTCTGTATTTACACCCTACTTCCTTTACAATGAAACAAGGCCCGTGTGACCTCTTCCTGGTTGCTAAATGTGCTTTTCAATGTTACATGTATGATTTGTACAATGCTACAGAATATGTTTGAACTAATAATGATAATTTAAAAATATTAGCAAGTCAGAGGTTCCAAGTGTTCCATTTTCCCTACGTGCAATATCAGTGTCTAAGGCTGGGGCCTATATGCAACATATGCAACTAGGGGTATGTACAAAGAGTCCTAATATAATATGTGGGGAGCGCGATCAATCCTTCTGCAATGGAAATAACGCATAAAGTGACCAGAACTGTCTCTGACAAATAATACAGATAATTAGTCCACACCCTTTTACAGTAGCCAATTATGCAGTATGCTACATGTAATCTCCTTTGTTGCCATAGCTTCACTAAGGACGGAATGATCGATTACAATATAGAATGTCCGGGTGTACACACCATGCAATGCCCCTAGGGATTCTGGGTAAAGAAACTTTCAACAAAAAGCTGAAATTGATCTAAGAAAATGGTATGCTGTAACCTAAACCATAGGATAGAAAACAAACAAAAGAAAGTCAGAAATGTTGATCTTGTGTACAAATTAGGGATTAGCAATCATTGGTATACCAGCTGTGGTGGATCATATCCCATGGTACTAAGCCAACAGGGTGGCCGAGCATTGTGGGATTTATAGCAAAGCAATTATTTTGAGGCAGGCAGACTATATGTGCTGCAATATCTGTGCATTTATTTCCATTAGTAAAATATTTATTCTAAATCCAGTTAATTCCATTTTAAAATATATTGAGACATGCTAAAATCTGATTTGCAACATTTAGCTCACAATATCCAAAACAGAAAAAAATTTAAATATATAAATAATGTATATATATGTGGATATATACAGGGATTTTTTTTCAAAATCAGTTATTTCTAGCTAAAATTCAATTCACTAATATATATTACATGCTTAACACATAGACTTAAAATAACATTTTAAATCAAAATGTTAGAAAACTTCTCATAAACAAAAAAGCAGGGCATTTAGACAAAATGTAAAACACTGATATTGCTTTAAGCATAGCTACTGACCGAGAAATGAACCTAAGTCTAAGGAAGACAAAAAAATAAAATAAAGCAAAACAAAACATAAATGACGATTTAATGACTATTTAGAAGTTAAAATTAAAAGCCTACTTTTGCAAAGAAAAGCCCTCTGTCCTCATGTGCAATTTGCAGAATGAACTTTTAAGCGTGGATGCAAAATATTAATTTCCTCACCATATGACAATCATCAGACTATATATGATTATCTTTCCAAAGTTCTAAAACTCCTTCCCTTCGCTAACATTCTAATCCAATTTAGTGAGATAGTTCCTTCAAATCCCTTAGAGACCTGTAGTTCACTCATTCTCCCACAGTGCTGAGATTTCTCTTAGCCCAGCTGGTAGGAGATTTTAGAAATAACACAATATCTCAGGGGGTGGATCTGGAGTTTGAAAGAGGCCCTTTGTCCAAGGCTCTATGAAGCCAGATTAATTATGCATTGCAGAACACAGTTGTAAAGCTCCGAATTAGGTCCTCATTGTAAGCAAAGGATTGCATAGGTTTCAAACTAAAAGAATTCCTATTTCCATCACAGGGACAGTCATATAATGACTGAAAGAATTCAGAATTAAAGAAAATGCAATTAAACAGTATTTTGTAGTTAGCCCTGCATGACAGTTATAGGTGGCATTCATAAAATAATTCTTTAACATTTTTTCACATGATCACTCCATAGGTGGCTGTCTTTAAAAATGTTTGTCTCCTTTCTGTAAATGGGCTACCCATCCATGTTTTACAGAAAATTAAAAACTCAATTATGCTCGGTGTTCCAAAAAGAAATTCCTTTTTAACATGTACTTCATTTTCTGCAATTAGTCAATTGTATACTGTTTTTATTCTTCAGAAATAAGTAATTAAAAAAAGGAAAATTAGAGGAATAAACAAAACAACTAAAATTACAAAACAAAATAAAAAATGCTAAATGTATTGGAGTTGCAGTAAAATCTGCTAAGCAGCATATTGGTGCCAAGTGATGTAGTATAAATAAATAAGGCCAGTTGGCCGTTTGAAGCAGTTGTGACTGGACGTGCTGTTTTAAAGGTAACTCTGTAACCCAATATCCTGGTTTGAAAGAGTCGGAAATCTGTGACTCCCATGACAAATATTTCTCTCTCTCTCCTGCTCACTAGCCAGTTTGCACCATCAGAGTTAGGAGTTCTGGGACACTTGAATGATAAAGTGTCTCGATTACTACTAAGACAAAGTCGACTAATAGAGTTGGGTGTTGATATTCTTTCTTTCTAGAGCCTAGACTGGCACAATCCATCGTATGGAAAAGTAAAAATATTGAGTGCTATATTTAGCTGGTTAAGATTACAAAAAATCTTCATACTATTTCACTATTTCAATTATGGTACAGTCTGAGCCTGTATAACCAGAAGTAACAAAACACGGCAGCCAGTTAAACAAGAGAAAAAATGAAATGCCCAAACAATGTAATATACAAAATAAAAGGTTAAAACAGAATACATTAAATGCATCATATTAAAAGCTTGACTTGGACTGTACAGTAGGGGGAAGACACAACCATGATGGCCCTTATGCGTTTCATGCCTGAAACGCACTGTCATAGATCACTGATAAAGAGTCCTTGAGACTGGAAACGTGTAAGCGCCATTGTGGTTGTGCCTTCCTCCTGCTGCACAGTCGTAGCCGAGCATTTTTATTTAAAGCAATAAAGATTTTCTATTGTAATATTTTTTATTTTGCAATGTCTGGGTGTTTCCGTTTTCTCCCATTTAACTGGCTGATGTGTTTTGCTAAACACAATGCAATCCATCACTGGTTTTCCGTACCTCTTGTGGCTTATCACAATTAGACTATAAACCAAAACCACATGGACAGACAAAATTAATAGTCACAAAAAGCCTAGTGCAAACCATACAAGCACTCCCTCAAGTGCTTAAATACAAAAATCTATATATAATACAGCATGCACACTATAACAACCACAGATATCAAGTACAAAACTTTAATAAGTATGCAAATAACAATACATTACAGAATGAAACAAAATAACACAGTAAGGCAAATAGTAATCAAGAGTAATTTACCCAAGTCTCAAGGCAGAAACACAAGTCACCAACTCCGCCAACGTTTCGGCACCTACTGGTTACATTTCTTTTTCAACGGTCAATGGTGCACAGAACCGTGGACAGAATGGTGGGAAGCAGATCCTATCATCTGCAATTTAGCATTTATGGAACTATTTCCCTTAGTGGTTTCGTTGGCATTATGGGGTCCGATGTTACGGAACAAAAAAGTTATTTTCTTCATGGACAGTATGTCAGTGGTGGGGGCAGTGAATCAGTTATCTGTGTCCTCGGTTCCTGTGATTCGCTTTTTGCACCACTTTGTACTCCTTGGTATGCAATATAATATTGTCTTTAGGGAACCTCATGTGCCTGGAATGCTAAATATTATTGCTGATGCGTTGGCTCTTTTGCAGTGGGAGAGATTCCGCTTGGTGGCCCCTGGGGCACAGCTGGATGGGCTGGGCTGCCCGGATGACGTGTGGCAGCTAAGAACCTCATGCTTGGGTGCATGATATGGGATTCCTCGGCACCTACTACCTGGGCGGCGTATGTCAAGGTACAGAGGGCATGGGGCGAGGTTGTTTTTCTTACCACGATGTACGGTTGTTCACACTGACATTTGTCTGGGCTTTCTTTGGAGCTTTTAGGCTAAGTTAATTGGTCAATAGTAATAGAGCAGGTCGAGGGTGTGACTCAGTCTGAGGATGTGGAATTGGGTCATGGCCAGGTGGCCATTCGATTTCGATGGTAGAAAAAGGACGTCTTTGGAAAAGGCTGTATGGTGGAACCTCAATCGTGGCAAGGTTCACTGTTATGTCTGGTTTGCTGTGCCACTGCCTACCTGGAGGTTCGCGTTGATGCATCGTCCCTGTCATGATACCAATTTCTCTGGGTGTTTTGGCTGAGCTTGGGCGCCTGGGTTTGAATCCTATGCAGTTTGGGACGCATTCTCTTTGGATCGGGGCTGCGACGGAGGCAGCGCAACTTAGTTTAGGAGACGAATTAGTGAAAAGAATCGGTCAGTGGGAGTCTGTGCGGTTCAGGTCGTATGTTTGACTGGACCATTTGGTTTAAAAGGGCTGTAGGTTTCTCTGTTTTGTATTTGATAATATGTATTTTTCTTTTGTAGGTTGGGTAGCCTGGTTGCTGGGCCACTCATACATCCATTGGGCATGCCAAAGAGCTGCAGTCTGGCAACAAGTAAGACAGCTGGGCTTCCCACAGCACCGGGTTCAATTATGTTGGTTTGGTTATTGGGGTTTCAGTTGGAGGGAAGTGTGTGGTGAAATTTTTGAAGGTTAGGTTGGGGCCAATTGCCTGATTTGTTATTGATCCACTCACGGGGGAATCATTTAAGGCAGGTGCCACAGAGGGTGCTAGTACACAGTATAAAGCAGGATGTGGAAAGGTTGCAGTCTCTGGTCCCAGGCATTACTATTATTTGATCAGAGATGGTGCCTAAGTTACATTGAAGGCATGTCAGGGATCCGAGGGCAGTAGTCAGAATGA